GGCAGCGGCTAGTCCTGGCTGGCCGGGCGGGGGTCTGGGGATGGGGGCGGGCAGAGCTCCGGGCCGGTGAGCGCTGCGGCCGCCGTCCCCGCCGAGCTGCCGGGCAGCCGCGGAGGGGTCGTGGGCTCCCGCCCCACACCCCGCTCCGAGGGCGCCGAGGCCTCTCCAACCCGCTGCGTGGCCGCGATGAACCGCGGCGGCAGCAACCCGGCGGCCGCCGCCAACTACCTGCTCTGCACCAACTGCCGGAAAGTGCTGCGGAAGGTACGGCGGCGCGGCGTCCGGCCAAGCAGGCTCCCCGCGGCGGGGTCCGACCGGCGCTCACGGGGGGCGAGGCTCAAAGGGTCCCCCAGGCGGGGGGCCGCGGGGACCTCGGACGGACTGACCGAGGCCGGGGTCGGAGGATCCTGGGGTCGGTCCACCTGCCCGGGGCCGGGATGGACCGGGATCTGCCCGGGTGCTGGAAGGACCGAGGACCGGCTCGGCAATGCTCACAGGGCTGCGGCTGCGAGGGGGATGGAGGCTGGGGACATGCCTGGTCTGCCCTACGGGATCCGGGCGCCCCCTCCGCCGTACCCTCGGGGTGCTTGCTTGGATGAGGTGCTTCCGCCTGGCTTAAGAGCCCAGCACCCCTTTGGCATCCTCGCCGTGCTGTCCGGGGTTCACACTGGGGTGCTCAAAGGCACTGTGAAGGCATCTTGAACTTGATGCCCGAGGGAAACGCTATTCCATCTTCCAGAGCTTCGGGCCGGGGTTTGGGGAGGCGGAGACTGAAGTGGACGTGGGGTTAGCCCTCCTCAGCATCCCCACCCGGGTGAGGATCCAGAAAAATTCGACCCAGGGGCGATTTATGGCTTCCCAGAGGCACGGATAGAAAGTTTACTCCCGTATTGTTTAGTTTACTTGACTTAATCGCCCGGTGGGGGATGGGGATGCTGGGGGAGAGAGGATGACAAAATGTCCCTCTAGACCCAGAAGAGTCTTGATCGGATAAGAGCAGCCTCCTTGAATAATGCAGTCCGTTTGTTCCCGGCACTGTTTTTACACTGCTTGAAGTGAAACGTTAGGTGAGATGCTTATGTGTGTCCAGCGCCAATGAATTAAAATTGCTGAGCTGTGCAAATCCGCGAGCTGAGAAGAACATGGTGCCCTTTTTGTCAAATTCGGTATCTACAGTCACTTTAGGATTGTTCATTATGTATTAAAGCAAGCACCTAAGAAACAAGCTCAAATATTTGCGCTCTTTGTCCAAAAATTGTTTTTCTTCCTCTGTGGGTCAGGCCGAGTGCCAATCAAAGTTGTTTTTCAAGCTTCTTCCCTGCTAGAGCTGTTGCTTTTTTTTCTCCTCTTGTTTCTTTTGAGAGCGTCAGAACAGCGAAGGGATTGCAGATTTGAAGTTAATCAAACGATTAAATATATCTTAAGTTGTGTTTATTGGGTATGTTTCTCTTAAAACAGATTTTTATTAAATATGCATGTTGAGTCTGTGCAGTTATTTTTTTCCATAAACTCTGGGATCAAATTACAGTTGATACTTGCTAGCTCGTTGTAGGGCAGCCTCAGACTTGGGATGGATCAGAAGCTCAGATCAGCGCCCTCCAACGTTAACTCTTTCACTGCTGGGCCAGAAAGCATCTGGGTTTAGCTTTTACAAATTAATGTTTCTTAAATGGAAAATAGATGTCTTTGAAGAGCACTGCCGTGGAGACTGGTTTGACTCAATTTAAGATCAGTCAAATGAGAGGAAGTTGTGTTTTTCTAGCTAAATATGGAGAAAGGTGCTGTAATTGACTTGATTCAATTTTTCTAAATGGCTGTGGCAATTTGTTTGGCTAATAAGTTCCTTGGAACTGACATTGGGTCAGGCAGTTTTTTTCTTTTTCTTTTGAGAGAGCTATGCTTCGGATCCATGACCTCACTAACATTCAAGGCATCCTTATGTCTTTGAGTTTTTAGGAAAGTAGTATTTCTGTTTACCTAGAAAGACCATCCTCACTTCTGCCATAATTAGAAAAGAGAAGTGTGTGCAAAATGGGGTTTTATATTTTATATTTGCGATGAATGTCTCTGACAGTATTTCAGGTTTCAGTAACTACAGGGTATTTAATTTTGACTCAAGTAGTGGCATGAAATAAATTTAGATGGAAAAGGATTGTTTGTACCAGTTAAGACATGACCTGGCAATGTTTGAAGATTTTAAAGAGTGCCGTCTTTAAGTCTTTAAGTACTCTTGAAAGAAATCAGAGTCTAGCACTTAAATTTTTCATCGTTCTAAAAATGCCACGCAAAGATGTACTAATAATGTTTTCCTTTTGATAGAATACAGTTGAGTAAGGTTCATCTACAACTCTCAAATGTGATTCTTTACATTTGCTTGTTTCCATTTACTGAGGTACACAGCCATAAACAAGTGAGTCACAGCAGGTTAGATTCTGGGTGGGTGGAAGAAGGGGCATCATGTGCATCCCATGTCAGTGACCCTTTGGTGTTATAACACTCGTTAACTGTGAGGAAAGGGCTTCACCTTTGTATGTGGAAGAAAGACTTTTTCTGTCTGTAAGTCACTTAATTTATGCAATATGCTGAATTCTTAGGAAACTTCAAAAGGAACGGAATTAACCTTCAAAGGAAATAATTTGGTTTAATTCAATATCTGAAGACCAAATTGCATATTATATAAGAATTACATTTATTCTTAGAAGTAGCTTCACAATTTTGGTTCAGTGCTTTGCAAAACAGAATTGTTAGAGTTTTAAAAGTAACTAGCATGGCAGCTTGGGTCACTGTAAAGCACATAGAAAAACAGACAGAAAACAGGAACATCACGTCCACAACTCATCCCATCTTCTCACTCTGTGCTCTATTACAGTTTAATAAACATTTTAAGAAGAGGAAAAACACTACTTACTTTTTGAAATTTGACAAGTTTTGAAATGTAAAACATTTTACTTGAAAAAATTCCAGTGACAACTTCATGAATCTGATCCTTAATTTCAAAAGTGAAGTGGCAAAGCGTGTCATGAAAGGTGGGGAGCTGTTAGTCCGTTTGCTGCCCCTGAGAAAGGAAGGTGTCCTATCACAGCATTCAGAAGCATTGAACTGGTGCTGTCCAAAGAGAACTTTGCAGAGTGAATGAAAGGGTGTTACATTTTAATTTCTTTCCTTTTTTAAAAATATGCTCTCGGGGCTGGAGAGATAGCTCAGTGGTTAAGAACGCTGTTCATGCAGAAGACCAGGTTCAAATCCTAGCACCCACATGGCAGCTAACAATTGTCTGTAACTCCAGTTCCAGGAGATCCAACAGTCTCTTCTGTCCTTGGGCATTGCATGACATGGGTGCACTTACTTACCTACATGCAGAGAATACACACATATACATAAAATAAAAATAATAGAATATTTTAAAAAAACATGCTTTCACTACAGAGTACCCACAAACTTACTCTATAGCTCAGGCTAGCAAGTGCTGAACTCCTGATCCTCCTGCCACAGTCTGCCAAGTGCTGAGATTATATGTGTACAGCACCCAGCCTGGCATATCTAAAACATTCAGTATGTATCTAGATAGTTCCAGCAATACATCTTGGTGTATCCTTAGTAATTTTTCACCTTCTTTATACAATTCAGTGTTCTGATAGCTTCTTGATATTTTATAAGCAAAGAGACCACCAAGTAAAATGGAAAATATTGAATCAGTCCATCTTAGCCTCATTTATGTAATCAAAATGCTCAGTATTAGAAATCTTATATAGTTTAACCAAGGGAGTGTGTTCACTTATACAATGCACAGGTAGCCTTCTTTGACTGATCAGCTTTCTTGTCTTTCGGATTTTTTATTGCGAGGCAGTTGTTTATTTACTTATTTTTATCTTATTTGTATAGTGCTTTGCCTGCATGTGTGTAGGTGCACCACGTGTGCGCAGTGCCTGAGGAGGCCAGAAGAGGGTGTCAGATCCCCTGGAACTGGAGTTACCAATGGTTCTAGCTGCCATGTGGGTGCTGGGAACAGAACCTGGGTCTTCTGTAAGAACACCCAGTGTTAACCGCTGAGGCATCTCTTGAGCCCCACTTCGCATAATTTTTAAGATGTGTTTACAGTTAGGTCTTTGGCATTGATCATTTTGTTTTGGTCAACTTGAAGCCTAGTTTTTTCTGTAAAATGTACATGGTTTCTACCTGGCTTGTTGCTTTGTGGCTTGAGAGAGAAAATGTGTTTACATCTAATGCAGACCCTAAGTGTTACACTACAAGAATTAAAAAACAAGCCTATGTAGTGTCCCTTTCCCAGAATGCTTTAGCCCTTTGTGTGTTAGGGGAGTATAGTTAAAAATATATACCGAGTAATTTGATTTAAAGTCATTTTTCATAGGAATTTTAATTGTTCCTAGTAAAAGAGGAAGTGCTGGCACTTTTATTGAGAGCAGCCTTTCTGCCCATTCATGGTTTCTGTATTTCCGTCTCCTCCTCTCCCACACACCCTTCTTTAAAGGGTAATGTGGTACATTGCTTTTGGGTTTTCAGATAATTAAATTAAATTGCCTCTGACACGAGCAGACAAAGAAAATTGGTGTTTTGTGTGAAAAGACCATGAGTTAGGGATGCTGTGCCTGGTAACTGTGAGATCTGGGAGAATCAAGGACTCCTAATTATTTTCATTTTGAAGAGTTTGGAGGCAATAGTCTCTTAATCTTTCCTCCCATGCCTGGTTTTCCCAGTCTTTCCTTGGACAGTATTGACCTTTGCAATGTTCAGTGCTTTCACATAATCCCGGGGTTTTCTCATAAACTGAGAAGGCTTAAGTGACAATGTCTCTGACATACAGCTAAGATATGCATTCTAAGCTATGGCCCTGCCTCTGTAATGAACCTTTGAATTGTCCCCTGCAGGCAGGAAGGCTGCCAGGGAATATCTGCACTCCACAGGGAGCATCTGGGAATGCCCACAGGTACTTAAGACTGGAAATTGGAAAGTTCTGACCTATCATGGCAGAGCAGCTTAAGAGACAGGAGTAAGCTGTCTGCCTTGCTTTATTCTTGAAAAATGTTGGGTCCATCACTAACTCAGATGAAGCAGTTCTCATATCTGGTCCTCAGACTCCTGGGAGGTGCTGGGAGCTCAAAGCTATGTTCATAACCATACAAAGAGTTTATCCTTCTTTATCTTTCACTGTGCACTGGGGGAGGGGTTGTAAGTCAAGGGACTGGCACAGGCGGCAGCATTGTTTTCTTTACTAGTGCTCATCATTGGGAAATTGCAGCTTTACT